TATGTATGTGTGCCTAAAAGAAGTGTAGAGTGAGTAGAATATCAGATTGGAGGGTACAGGGTATCTCCTGGTCGAGCAGTCTCGACTAGAGTCTTCTTACTTGTTTTTAAATGTTTTTTTTTATTTTTATTTATTTATTTATTTTTTTGTTAAGTTTATTTGCATATGAAGTGTGTGCAAGTATGTATGAATTTTTTATTCATATAAAAATAATATGTATATAACATAATACAACATAATAGAATTTTGAGCCGAGACTGCTCAGCTACGAGATTCCCTGTACCCTGCAAAGAGCTGATATTCCTATTATTCTGCGTTTTACTTCACACTATATATTCATGTCTATTAAAATTTAAGAATATGAATTAGATATATAGATGGAAGGTCTCCAAATTCATAAAGCTAAGTCTTTATATCCCTAGCAGTATTCAAATTAGGCTTAAGAAACGAAATTGAGATTATTGATAATTATCGATAAAAACAAAATGGGATAAGTTATTAAAGGCAAATAACAATAAACCCTTACTTCGTATAGCACTTAAAAGAATTTGGAGTAAATAAAGAAAACGTAGTATTATAGTGTCGTACATAGTATTATATACTATATATATATTAATATTTCTGTTTCTTTAAAAAAATTTGTTTTGGAAGCAAAAACAAAAGTACGAATATTGAGTAAAAGACTTGAGTTGTTACGATGTCAAGAACTTGTTATGTTTTTGTCATTTATCTTTTTATTGTTTATATACTTAAGTATTGACGACACTAATAACATTCTGAGCCCATTTTCATTTGTTTCTGTTAACAGCTTGTTTCATTCCCATGCGTTTCTGTTGTCGCTTTTGTATCTTGATAATGGCAGTTCTGGTCAGGCAGAAAGAAGAAGACGTGGCCGATGATCAAGATGTATTTTTAATCAAGACAATGGTGTAACAGGTGCTCATGAATGAATGCAGAGATTGTAAACAATTTTTATTATGCTTATTTTTCAGTTATAATATTAGAATTTAACTTATCGGAGATATATATACATACATATCTGAAGATCTGACAAAAATAATTGATAAAATAGGTGAAATAATAGTTTTGCACTTAGTTATGTTCCAGGGCATCTTCTAGTCGTGCACTGCCGACTAAGGAACAACTGTACAAAGCTCAGAATTTGATGGCTGATACTTGAACCTCTCTGTCCTACTGACTCGCTGCTCCAATAAACCGAGTTATAGTGATAGAAAACATAGTTACATTTATTTACCTCTGAGAATCAACATATATATAAATAATAATATTATTATATATGGATATGTTAGTATAGCTATAAATATGCAAGTCAAGTAAATTAGTTTCTGTTATTGAATTTCCAAGTCTCAAATCGACGCCTAGAACTTTCCCTTTCCGAACGTCTGTGATATGGAAATGCTACTGGAAAATGCAGATAGCGTAATACTAGAAGAGACAGAGCTGAATACAGAATACTTGAAAGAATGTTGAACTTTAGCGCACACGTCAATTAGTTGACTTAGGCGATTGAATTTCGCAGCTGTTCCACATTGTTTTTGTATTTTTTGTTTGTTTTATAAACATTCATTGGCCGTCTGTCGTCTGTCGTTTGTCGTCTGTCGTTTCTTGGCTGGGGAATATCAAAGTTCAGTTTGAAAACTGTTTGCCTTATCGTGTTGGGGGGAGGCCATGATAAGCGCGCTTCGAATTTGTGTTTTGTCTGCAATGGCGCTAATCACCGTTATCTATTGCAGATCTATGTGCTGACCGTGCTGTTGCTGCCCATACGCGTGGTGGGCTGCGTCCTGTCGCTGCTATCGGCATGGATGTTCGCCTGCATCGGGCTCTATGGCATGTCCATGGAGGAGCTGCAGGCCAAGCCGCTCAGCGGCTGGCGCAAGTAAGTCCCAGCATGATCACTCCAGAGATTTCTAAACCCTAACCTCTATGCTCTCGGCAGGCTTATGCAGTACTGGACGGCACGCGCCATGCGCATGGTATACACATCCGGCTCGTTCCACTACATCAAGATGAAGGGCACACCGGCCACCCCGAAGGAGGCGCCCATACTGGTGGTGGCGCCGCATTCGTCGTATGTGGACTCCATTCTGGTGGTCTCTGGCCACCCGCCGTCGATTGTGGCCAAGCGTGAGACGGCGGACATTCCGCTGCTGGGTCGCATCATCAACTACGCCCAGCCCATTTACGTGCAGCGCGAGGATCCCAACTCCAGGCAGAACACCATTAAGAATATCGTGGATCGGGCCCGCTCGCCCGACAACTGGCCGCAGGTGGTCATCTTTGCCGAGGGCACGTGCACCAATCGCACGGCGCTGATCAAATTCAAGCCCGGCGCCTTCTATCCGGGCGTGCCCGTGCAGCCCGTGCTGCTCCGATACCCCAACAAGTTCGACACCTTCACCTGGACCTGGGATGGTCCCGGCGTGTAAGTGTTGGCAATTCAGCCAGACATTCCTCTCGATCTCCTAACGTTTCACCCAAAACCAACAGACTGCGCCTGCTATGGCTGACGATGACACAGTTCTACAACCGTTGCGAGATCGAATACCTGCCCGTATACACACCGTCGCCCGCCGAAATGGCCGATGCCAATCTCTATGCCAACAACGTACGCCAAGTGATGGCCACGTAAGTTTCCCCATCCGGGCTCGAGGAGACATTTATCCCTCATCTCGCATTTTGAATTTGTAGCGCATTGGATGTGCCCACGTCGGACTATTCGTTCGAGGACGTGATCGTGATGAGTCGGGCGCGTGAAATGAAAATACCGTTTCCCGGCGACATTGTTGAGATCGAGCATGCGCTCGACGCCCTAGACCTGCTGGACTCGAAGCGCGACATGGAACTGTGCGATAAGTATCTGACGCTGGCCAACCCAGAGAAACTGGACATAATCACATTCGCCGAGCTGCTCCAAGTGGACCTCAAGAATCCCGATTTGCACAAGCTCTTTGCTCTGCTCAATCATGTAGGTGTCTATATAAATAGAGTGGAATCCGGTTACTGCGACGAGAATTCTAATGCCCAGACAAACTTTTATGAATAAGAGTATGAATAAGCTTATATGGTTATTAGTTCTCTTAAGGACCGTCGTTATAGCCGGATTCTACTGTATATCTCTGTACTTACTTGTTCTCTGACTAATACTCCTTCATCTATCTTGCCGTTCATATCTCTAGCGCGACAAGGGCACAGTGAGTCTGAAGAGTTTCTTGGTCTGTTCGCTGTTCTGCAAGTTGAAAAATGACGAAATTATAGAGTTTCTGCGAGCACTAATCAAGGTAGGAGTGACACTGCATGGATGACCGCAAGGAAATCGCTAATCTCATATTATTATTCTCAACAGCTGTACAGTGAGTCGAGTGAAAAGATTAGCCGGGAGAGTTTCACGCGTTTAATGAAGCATGGCGGCAGCAAGATGACCGAGCAGAAGACACAGACGCTATTCTATGCCCTGGACACCGACAATGTGGGCTACGTATCCTTCGGTGAGTCCTGGAGCCCAATTGGCTGTGAATTGTGGGGGAAAACTAACGAGAAATTCCTTTGATCTTCAGACAAGTTTGTGCAGTACACGGAGCAACAGCCCAGCTACAAGTTTCTCTATCACAAGTCGGAGCATATAAGGAGGACGAAGAGTAGCAAGGCCACGCCCACAACCAACTGAACAATCCAAGAGAATGCATTTGGAGGCTGCAATAAAACTCAAGCTGGTTTTACAGATATTCAGAGATATGCTATAGGCAAGCGGCAACCGGCGACATGCAACACGACACAGAGCGGAGGAGATATAGAGATGAGAGCGAGAGAGCGAGAGAGAGAGAGACAGATAGATAGTGTTCGATAGAGAGGGTGAAAGGGAAGGCGAACGACAGAGAAAGTGTAGCATAATGCAAAGTAAACCTAAGCAAAAAGTTCAATTGTAATCTAAATATGTATGTGCATACAGATATATACACATAGCTATATATGTTTGTATTAATTAATTTATTTATTGTGTACGTGTTTGTTGCCTACTGTAATTAGATATGTATAGCTTGGGAAAAAGCGAGGGCTGTGTAGACAGGTCCACAGAGAAAGTGAGAGAGAGAGCGCGCGTTTTGCTAGCATAGCATAAATCTAGATATATATGTATATGTGATCTATGGACCTGTCTGCCGCTTCAACCAATTACCTTTATGTGTACTTTTACTCTTAACGCAAGTCATTTCATTATTGTGATTCTAATTATATATATATATACACACATATATACATATATTTTGCGAATTATACACTCATATTCCATACGGACAGACTTTTTGTTTTTTTTTTTTTGTTTATCTCTCTAGAATAAAATATGTTAAAATTAAATGTGAAATGCCAAAACCCCAAAAACACAATATAAACTGTAAATGTATGTCTAAAAAAAAAAAACAAAAAAAAACTTTACTTTAGTTTAACTATCTCTGTGTAATTCAGATCTTTAGTTCCTCTTCCACCAGATATACATATATATATATACTCATGAATAGATTTCTTGTGCATTTGTAAACTTACACACACACACACATAAACCGAAAAGACTTCTGGGCACATCCTCAGCATCCGAGTTAAACTAGAGTCTAGCTGTACTTAACCAAACATTGCATCTACTGAAACATGACAAGCAACTATTGTAATACACACACACACACACACACTTGCCCACACACATACACTGATGAGTCTGCTCCGCTATATTTTAGAAATTGATTTATGTAAAAATAATCATACAAGAACCTTATTAACGGCACACATCGTCGCTTCTATGCTCTTTCCGATATTGCTTTTAGTGACCAAATAAATACTCAAAAAAGAAAACGAAAAAAACGGAATTTATGTTCGCCTTTTAAGCTACGGAAATTGTTGTAATTGAATAAACCTGATATTGGAAACTGAAGAACTTGAAGATAAATGTATTTTTGTATAAGCATTTAAATCGATAATCTGGAATGGAATTTGTTTAAGCCCAACACATGAATATTATTTTCGGGGAAAGAGCATGCGATAGAAGTCGACTCAAGCACTAAACGTATATTGTAAAATCCATATAAAATATATAACACTAGTGAGTATATCCACGAACCAACAATGTGCATATACATACATATATAAATATGCACCCATCTGTATGTCTATATGTCTATGTCTGTGTCCCTCCTTCCGCAGAGAGTGGCTCTGAAATAAATGTGTACCTTTTAAGCAAAGTAAAAAGATGAAGAAGGGTGTTCACTCCAGTCGTATTACTTGACCATTGGCGGGCTATCGGAATGCAGCGAGCGGTGGGCGTATACCGTTGAGTCGTGCGGCATGTGGCGTCGCGGAAACGCCCCGCAGTTGACGTCGCGAACGGCGTGCGGCGGCACCGACAGAGCTCGATCGAGAGCTGAGCCAAGTGAACGTCTGCGATTCCTATTAATATTAACAATAGATTTTTGTTCTAAAACTGCTTTGCGGAATATGAACCATGTGTAGCCACAGAGGACGCAACCGGTTGCGGCCCCCACTCATCCTCCTCCTGCTGATCAGCTGCGTGGAAGGCTTTGTCAATGCGTAAGTAGAGGCAGCTACGCGTTCGGCTTACGGCTTACGGCTTACGGATTTCAATTTCGCGTGCATTTTGTAGGCCCAAGATAATCAGCAAGGATGGCAATCTGATATTCGAGTCGGGCGCCAATCGCAACATCAGCTTCCGACTGAGCGGCAACTCCCGCCTGGTGATCAATGGGGAATACGATGTGCTCGATCTCCTGATGCCCATCGGCGGCAGCAAGAAGCGACCCACAAGCGGCGCCGGCAAGGACGAGTGGAGCGGAGTCGATGACATTGTCGATCTGCGTGATCTTGCCGATCAGCTAACGGCGTTCAGAACCCAAGCCCTTGGACCCAATGGGCTCAACGCCAGGTTGAGTCAGCTTCAAAATAGGTAAGCTCAATGGGTAAATTTGGAGTGTATGTGGAACCGTATACATATATACCGTATATGAACAGCGGGATGTAAATGGGATGGACTAAGTCAGATGTAGGTAGTAGACAAGTTTAGTTAGTGATAATTTATATCAAAAGATTAACAAGAAAAGGGAGGGATTATAGAGACGGTAGAGACATTCAAGTGATGACAGTAGAACGGACTAACAAAGGATGTGCGGAACCTGATGCGATAGATATATGACCGATGCATCTGGTGTATGGGGGATTTATGAAATATATGAGCGATATATGTATATAGAACGAGATTGTATCTATGTAGTTTGATAACCCCTCGGTCGATACCATCGTGCATGCTGTGCATAGATCTCTCTTACGTTCGACCTGCATAGCCCGTACCAGGGATGCTTCCCGGAATGATGTAGGTCGGATTGATAAGTTACCAAATGATTGATTGGCTCTTCTATTGTGCGCAGGACCCGGGCTAGCAATGTGCTGTTGCGACGCCTGCAGTCGCGACTGCGCGCCGTTTATAACAAGGTGCAGCGGCTGAAGACGAGGGTCGAGCTGGACAGTTGCCACAGTAATCCGTGCGAGAACGGCGGCTCCTGCTTCAATACCTACAATGGATACCGTTGCCAGTGCGTGGCCGCCTTCGAGGTAATTCACCCGGGGGCGTATTTGGGGGGCGTGTGTGTCGCATAGCCTTACACTACCTCACTCTCTCTCTCTCTCTCTCTCTCTCTCTCTCTCTCTCTCTGTCTATGTATCGATCGCTCACAGGGCAGCCGATGCGAGCGGGATGTCAACGAGTGCGCACTACTGGAGGGCACCGACCTGGGCTGCCAGAACGGAGGGCAGTGCGTGAATCAGTTCGGCTCGTTCAGCTGCATGTGCGCGCCCGGCTGGCACGGGATGCACTGCAGCCAAAGGAAGACGGACTGCTCGGCGGCGAGCAGCTGGGAGCTGTGCGGGCATGGCAGCTGCGTGCCCAGCAGCGATGCGACGGGCTATCGGTGTCTGTGCGAGGCTGGCTGGCGCAGCAACGGACTGACGCCCACGTGCACCGAGGACATCGACGAGTGCACGGCGGCCGCGCATACGCCCTGCTCCACCAAGTGCATCAACTTGCCCGGCAGCTTCACCTGCGCCCCGTGCGCGCCCGGCCTGACCGGCAATGGAGTCAGCTGCCGCGACATCAACGAGTGCGAGACGAACAACGGCGGCTGCAGCCTCAGTCCACGTGTCGAGTGCATCAACAGCTACGGCTCCAGCCACTGCGGCGAGTGTCCCGTCGGCTGGACGGGCGACGGACGCACCTGTCAGCGCAACAGCAACGGAAATGGGAACGGAAACGGGAACGGGAACGGGAATGGCAACGGCATTAGCTACACCAGCTGCTCGCAGCGCAGCTCGCTCTGCCATCCGGCGGCCATCTGCTCCGAGATCTCCAATACGATCATCTGCAGCTGTCCCGCCGGCATGGTGGGCAGCGGCTACGGCGAAACGGGCTGCATCCGCGGCACCAACAAAAACTGCAATGATTTGCCCTGCTTGGTAAGCGTTCAGCAGATATGGTCTCTACTTTATCTGCCGTTATTTTATATTGAGTACTCGCCCAGCAAGCGAGAGGAGTATATTGCTTTCGGTAAGGTCTCTCTCCATCCGGCTGATCGATTGCCAATCACTCTTCCGGCTAGATATATTCGAGTTTACCCTCGTCTTAGCGCTTTGAATGATTTCGTAGAGTACAGCACATCGTCATTCAAAAATTAGGCATTCGAGTAGGGGCACTCTGCTTACACCGTATCTCACTCTGAAATCTCGAAACTAGGATTACTTGACTATGGCTGCTTTTCTGTTCAGATCAATTGCAATGCTTAAATATTTGGTGTATTTCTTGGTAGAGTTTGATAAGGGCCTTTTTTTCGCTTCAATTGGAGCTAGAGTCTAAGAGCTGACATATATTGGTATAGATTGAGGCGTGGCAAATAGAAATTGGGTATATTCAAAGTATCACTAATACTATTTGTCATATTTATAGAGAAAAATGGGTAACAGTTGCAGAGGTAGGATCAACAGCCCTTCGGTAGGAGCAGCAACCCCTTCAGTGAGATCAAAAGCCCCTTGGTAGATATATACGCAATATCTTACAGTTCAGAATACAGTTAAAATTTGGCCAAGATATCCAGGGACAATCCCTGCTAATAACTTGCTGTCCGACTGATTGAAGGACCGGAGGGTCCTTTGCAATCGGGAAGGATCAATCAAGCCAACATTTGATTGAGCTATTTACTGTGTATTGCAGAATGGAGGCGTTTGCATGGATGCTGGCCCCTCGAACTATACGTGCATTTGCCCGCGTGGGTTCCATGGGCCGCGCTGTGATCCCCTGCCCGATGCGTGCACATCGCAGCCCTGCAAGAACAACGGACGCTGTAGTTCGACGCCCTCGACGACAGGAGGCGGTTTCGTTTGCCAGTGCCAGCCGGGCTATCGGGGTCGACTATGCGATGTGCGGTTCAGCAGCTGCAATGCGATGCTAACCGGGCTGACGGGACGGCTCCGTTATCCGCCGGGAGGAGACAGCTACGAGCACAACTCTCAATGCGCCTGGGTGATTCGGACGAACGAGTCGCTGGTGCTGAACGTGACATTCGAGAGCTTTGACATAGAGGACTCGACGGAATGCCGCTACGATTGGCTGCAGATCAACGACGGCCGGTCTGCGGCGTCCCAGGTCATCGGACGCTATTGCGGCAATCACAAGCCGCACGGCGGCAACATCATCTCGTCCAGCAACCAGCTCTACTTGTGGTTCCGCTCCGACAACTCGAC